TACCTTCTCTTTCAAGGAAAAGCTCAGCTACTACCCATTAGTGGAAAATGATCTCTGCCTTCTTAAATTTTCCTAGAATACTTTGGATCTCTATTCTCTATTTCTGATGTGTAAACAGGAATCCTATTTACTGGGGCCTACGCTGCAGCCTCCCTTCGGACCAGCCTCCCAGAGAGCAGAGGTATTGTCACTATATACAAACACATGCCTCCTTGGCACCCAGCACAGAATCTTGTGCCTAAAAGTAGAGAGGAATAAACACCCTTTGAATTAAGGAAGGATGACATCGTCTCAAGAGACAGGGTCAACAGAGAGCTGTTTTCAATAGGAATTAAAATTTTATCCCTAAAATATGTATTTGCAATGAAAACTGCCCTCGTATTAATCAGATGCCAGTGTTATCAATATCTTTAAATAGTGGTCTGTCACATAAGGTTTTTACAGAAATGAACCACTTTCAGATTTGTAGGCTAGAAAAAAAGGTGACAAATAATTTTAAAAGAAGTCTGGAAGTTAGAGCAACACATCTACAATATCACTGAGAAAGAATAAATCATCTGTTTGGAGGAAAACTGCCTCTTCTCTGCTGAACCTCCATTAGTAATAGCACTAGTATCAATCTAACTAACTCTTTAAAAAAACTATGTCCCTGACAATCCGAACTGATTTAATATTAAAATTATTATTCTGACATCTTATATAAGGTGTTCATTACTTCATTATACAACAAAGCTAACAAGATCAAATCAGAGATCTAAATGGTCTGGCCTAACAGAAGCTCTGGTTTACAGGAATTTAGAATATATGTAAAATCTTCTGGATATTAGCCAACAATTTTCTTGTGAAATGATGAAGCAGCAAACAATTGTTTTCATGAGGAAAATGCTAAGTACCATAATTTTTTTCTCACATAAAAATGTTGTTTTTGCTTGGGGTGGAAGGATAGGAGATGGACCAGAATGATCATGTATAGGATTGAATGTGGTTGAAGGAATTGGATTGTTTCCCCTAGAAGAAGAGAAAACCTAGAGATGGTTATCCACAAATACTGAAAGACCGTGATGTGGAAGAGTTAAATTAAGATTTGTTCCTCTTGGCTCCAAATGGCAGAACAAGAAATAATCAGTTAAAACTGAAGAGAGGCAAATGTGGCTACATGTTAAACAAGAGCGTGGTCCAAAAAAGAAACGGCAGCCTCAGAAGTCTTGGTGTCCCCCAACTGGACACCATCAAGTGAAGGCTTGAAATGATGGAAAGGGGATTTCCGGTGAGGCACAGGTGGACTAGGTGGATTCTGAAGTTCCTTCTGGAAAAGATCCTATGAGTAAGAGTCACACAGTGAAAATTCTAACTTCAATGCAGGTGGGGTGGGCATATTTCAAAAATATATGACAACAACAAATAGGGGCCTACATATCCTAAGGATTCACCTCTAAGGTCAATAATAATAACAACAATAAATCAGCAAACAAATAAATGAACTTATGCATTAAGATTTGAAAAAGGCTTTTTGATCCTTACAATAAACCCTAAAAGATATTATTATCCCCATTTTACAAATGAGGAAGTTGAGGCTGGACAGACTAGTGTCATGTTGCTATTAAGTATCCAAGGAGAGATTCAAGCTCATGTCATCCTGATTGAAGTCTGTCGCTCTGTTCACTACACCCCATTATGGCTAAAAAGAGCTATTTACATGAGGAATACTCTAAAGTAAATTCTTATTCTCCTTGCATATTTCTAGTAAAGACAATGTATTTGTAAATAAATCTATGCATTTGATACAATATATACCTGAATGTTCACAATATGAATTCAGAGTGGCTTGAAAACATGTTCAACTTCAAAGTATAAGAAAAATGCTTCTCTTCTTTTAGAAAACAAAGAACACAAGAAAAGGAGAGGCTTTTCATTCATTTGCTTCAATTCAAACAGCTACAGACCAAGAACAGAACACAGAACTCCAAATTCTGCTTTGTACTTAATAACATAATGTGATTTCATTGCTCATCATTGTAAGTCTGTCTAGGACACTCCTAAGAGGCAATGTATCAAATTTCCCAACAAAGAAGACAATTTATTACAGACTAGAAGTCTATTACTTCAAGGAGAAGAAAGATAATGCATACATGTAGCATACATAACCAAATCAACAATTTGATCTCCTGTCAGAAAGCTGAACCAGGATTTTTCTTTGTTTTAACAAAACTTAAAAATCAGGGTGTCTTATCAGACAACAGCTTACTGTGCATGCTGAAGGATGCCAGGAAATAAGGTCTGACTTGTAGGTAGTCAAATGTCAATCTTGCCATTAATACATCCTTTCTACTTACGTAACACTACTAAACTTAGGTGGCCCATGTCAGATCACGACTTCTCTATACTTTATCTTCTATGAAATGGGGACAAAGACTCTGAGAAAAGGGCTTGCATGAAAATGTTTGAATTTCAGAGGAAACAACTTATTCATTAGAATAAGATCTACATAGGTTAATACAGTATCATGTTTAATAAGCTCATTAATAGTCATAGTAACATCTACCCAATCATTTCTCATATTCTTTTTCTTAAAACTGTTCATTTAGAAAGATTTTAAGACTACAGTTAGTTTTTTTAAAAAATTCACCAAGATTAAATGGCCAATTTGACTGCAAGAGTTTCAGCATTTTAGTAGGAGTATCAGAATTAAACAGATGTTAATCTGGGTGAAGAGCATTAAGTAGGTACGAACAATGGAAAGAATCAGGCCTTTGGTGATCACTAGAGGGAAGAAACAAGTGGTTATCAAGGGACAAAAGCCCAAGATTTGACTAGAAAAGCAACCTCAGATTCGCATACACACATAACAGAGAAGAGCACTGAGCTCCAAGTCATGGGGTTGGCATCCCAGCTATCATGGGTTTGCCACTGCATGACTTCAGTTAAATTAAAAGCAAATTTCTCTTTCTGTTCCTCAATTCCCTTATAAAATGAAGGCACTGACCACAGTCAACCTTTCAAGCTCTACGATCCCCGATCTTATTAATAATTTCTATCATGGATTGAGGGAAAAAATGTGACATTGTGACAATTCTTACAGAAAGATGAAATACTCTCTACAGAGTCTGGTAGTTTGCCCCAAATACAATACGCTGAGGGCACAGAGCTCAAATGGAACCTCAAAACAGAAGAAAATGGAGAACAAATGGAATGACATGGAAAAAATAACAGAGGAGGTATCCAATAATTCTTATGGGGAAACAGGGAGAAGAACTGGGGATAACAGTTACTGGCTCCAATACTTACTGTTTATACTCTATGTAATGGTGAAGTAAAGAAAGTATGGTAGAACAAAGTACTCCTTTTCCAGATCAATGACTGGGGGAGAATTCATAACCAAACAAGGGACAGAGGAGATCACAAAAGACAAAACAGACAATTTTAAGCTTTTGCATGAACAAAATAATGTACATAGAATAAGGAAAGAAACATTCAATGGGAGTATAGGAGACAGAATCTCTGCATCAAATATCTCTGATGAAAGTTATTCAAGACATAGAAGGAACTGACACAAATACACAGTTATTCTCCATTAGGCAAAGTATGAATAGGAGCCAAGATTGCAAACCATCCATAACCATATGAAAAACACTCCACATCACTAATAATAAAAGAAATGAGTGATGAGCTAACTAAGGAGAGGGAGAATGCATACAGGAGGTGACGAACGCAGCAGAGCACTCAAGAAGGATGAGAACTAAGAAAAGACCAGAAGACCTGGAAATCAAGGCATCACTGGTAACTCTGGCAAGAACAATTTCAATTGAGTGAAGATGTCAGAAACCAGACTGCGAAGAGTTGGGGAATGAGAGATGTGAAAGCACTGAGTATTAAGAGCCTTTTCTAGGAGTACGGATGAGAGAGGGAGGAGAGATATATACAATGACATATTTCAAGAACAGTGGAGTCTAGTGAAGGTTTTCTAAAGATGGGGATAGTTGGGCGTGTTTGAAGGCAATAAAGGAGGAACCAGTGGACAAGGAGAAGCTAAAGAGTGGGGATGCAATCCTCATTGAGGATCCAATCAGCTGAAGAATCCAGGAGGAGATGGGATCAAGGGCACATGTTGGGAGGCTAGCCTCAACAAGGAAAAGGGACAGAGGAAATTAATGGTCAACAGCTTCAATTTTTCCAGGAAAGTAAGGGGCAAATTCCTCACCTACAGTGGACAGCACGGGGTAGTGGGGCAGGGAAAAGGTTGAGAAGAGAAGAGAAGGTCTGGAATATCAAGTACAACCATTTATTTCTGCAAAAGCACTGAACCTGTCTTTTTGCAATTGTTTAAAAAAAAAAACTATTCTAGAATTTAGCCTAAAGATAACTGTGAAAGGATATTGTCTGTTTATACCACACTATCCCTGACAGTTATAATATAAATCTGATTAAGAAAAATAAATAATCATCTTATTATTTGGAATGGGGAAACAGGCACATACTGTATGTGCAATGGAGCCTGGTATTTGATAGTGAGTCTAAGATCCAAAAGGAAATAAATATGTCTACATTTATTTATGACGTACTTATTTGTTTTTTTTGTTTTATGTGTTAGAATATCTGTTTAAAGAAATGGGGAGAAGTGAGGAAAAAGTCATACACCCTTACTATGGTCATGTAAAACTCGGTCCATATGCAACAAAGTAGAGGAGTCAGGCTGAATTCTCAAAGACATGAAGCCAAAACAAATGTTCAGATTTATTAAAAAGAATCTGTCTGTATCAAAAGGTTCCCAATTACAAAATACCTTGGTACTATGAATACTAGCTTGGAAATAGCCCCTTCTCTATAATTAGATGACTCCTACTTGCTAGGCTACAAACACTGCCTTTAGATTGTCAAGATTACTAAAACACACAAACATATAAACAACCTATGACTATAGTTTCTTCAATCACGTAAATATATCAATTTCAGAATGATTCAATAGACATTATTTGATGCGTATTAAAGAGAAAAAGTATTACCTCCATAGAGATTCGTCTATGTATCCGGTTTCTGAGACAAACACCTGTGGGAGACTGGACTTCATCCGATGAAGTCCCTGAAGCTTGGTCACTTTCACCATCTGATCCCATTTTTAAATTTTCATGAACGATATCTGAGCCATAAAAAAAAAGCACATTATTTTCCTCAGAGGATGGATTAAACACCTCATGAAGCATGTTTTCCATTATTATAAGTCAAATTATAATTTAATTTTAGCCAAATTGCAAAAATTATGCAATGTTTATTAAATGTTTCATTTAAATTCTAAGAACTAAGTCTATTATTACAGGTACTTCATTAACTGGACACTAAAACAACATCTTTTCTCAAAGTAATTCTAGTTAACAGCTCAGTATTCTGAAGTCCAAAATGCAGGTGGTAAAGGATCATTTCTAGAGTACTCTTTTCATATCTGAGAAAATTTATTATGTATGTTTAAAAAGTAATGAACATCTTATCTCAACACACAGAAAATAAAATTAGAAAAAAAAATTATACACCTCCTCCAACCCTTATATTAATTATCTTCTGATTTATCTGTCAAAAGCTGAAACAAGAAATGAATTCTCAACCAGCCTAAATTAGCATAAATTCAATCCTGACTAAATCAAGGCACTGAAGTAAACCATTCTGCTACTCTTGTTCTGTTCAATGGCCAACCTGTTGGTGTGCTCTGTACCCGCTGACCCTACTTCTCTTTCACCTGTTCCCCACCACTGGGCTTTTCACCCCAACTGCTGTCCTTAAGGTCACTGCCGCACTCCCTGACAAAGCTCCATGGGGCTTTCTCAGTCCTCCTCAAGCCCGACACTTGGCTGCATTTAGCACTGCTGACCACCCACACTCCCTTGAAACTCTTCTGTTTCTCTGAATGATTTTTTCATTCCTTGAACTGACTTCCTGAACCATAACTATGCATGCCACGAAGTTCTACCCTCTGCCCTCTTTCCACTTCATAAGTTCATTCTGCACTCAACTGCTTGAGGAGCTCACCTACTCTGACACGAACTATCATCTGAATACAAGGATTATCACATTTCCAGCCCAGTCTCTTCAACATATAGTCCTATATTTCCAAAAGTTTTGTTTATATTTAAATTTTTAAAAGTTAGCTCTGAATAATGCTAATTTACTAAGCTGACATTTCTAATTCTTTACAAAAGAAGTTATGAGTGACATATTAAACACCCCAAATGTTTTAGGAATTAACTGTTTCACAAGCTTTGCCCCCAAAAGAAGATGAAAATACGCTTTGGTTGTTTCTGTCTCATGATAGTGGTCATCGGGTTGGATTTTACAGATCACTGCTCAGAAAAAAATAAAGTAGGAATATACATGTTAATGACCCAACAATGAATATTTATTAATACCACTTCAGAAGTACATAGCTCAAGAAAAAAATTATATAGACATTTAGTTTTCTAAAGTTACAATGATCCAATGTTGAAGAATCCAAAGCAAATGTAATAATTCATAACTTTGGGACCACTGAAGAAATGAGAAAATTGTAACTCTTTGGAAAAGGTCTATTTACTGAAGTCAGCTACATTAATAACCATAAAAATAAACTTTTTAAAAACAATGTTTAAAAAGCAAATGTGTGTTTTGAGTGTGTATATCTATTCAGATGTGTGCATATAAATCAATAAACATTTAAAATGCTTGTGGAAGGTCATTGCTCTCCCTTCTATTACCACCTGCCTCAATCACTGTCATAATCTCCTAATAGGCAATCTTATATCTACTCAATCTCCCTTCAAATCCATCTCTTACAGCATTGCCAGACTTCTACTTTCTTATACACAGATCTGGCCATGGTATAACACTGCTTTGCTCAAAAATAATCCACAGCTCCCCATTACCCAGTCACTACACCTTGTGTTCTACTCAAGTATCTCCACAGTCTGATGCCAGCCTATTTTCAAGCTTCATACAACCTTTCAAGTACTCTATGTTCTAGTCAAATTCGATCTTGAATATTCATTTAACTTTTCTATTTTGACACCTTTGCTCCCTCTGCCTGCTGTACCTACAATGCATGCCTTTCTCTCCCCATCTTCATTTAATTCTTATCCATCCTTTAGAAGCCAAATGAAGATTTCCCAGGCATTCCCTAGTCATGAACAACTCTTCTGACTTGGCAACTCCGAGAGTATTCCGTCGACATTCCCCTAAAGCTCTTAGCACCCGCTGCAGTCCTCTGTATATGTGTCTCATTCCTCTAACAGTCAGTAAACCACATTAGGGCAGGAACCCCACCTAATCTAAACTTTTTATCTCTTCTGGGACCTACTATGCTTTTCTACACTAGAGATACTTCACATAGGCTTGCTGTCTTGTTCTCAATATGTAAATTTAATTATAAGTGAAGGAATCTGGGGGCAGCTAGGTGGCACAGTGGATAGAGCACCAGCCCCTGAAGTCAGGAGAACCTGAGTTCAAATCTGGCCTCAGACCAAATACCTGTCACTTACTAGCTGTGTGATGCTGGGCAAGTCACTTAACCCCAATTGCCTTAAAAAAAAAAATAAAATAAGTGAAGGAATTTATTCAGGAAGCAATGTCATATAATCAATAAATATAAAATGAATTTTTAAACAATGTAGTTGTTCTTCTAATTTGCACGTGTAAATTAAAAATCACATGGAATGGTGATGATAAACCATGTTTGTCTTTTCTTTGATTTCTCCCCATTTTTCACATCAATGAAGTTTTTCATAAAAAGTTTTGCTCTAAAATTGTCCAACCAAACATCTTTTAATTTTTATATTAGCTAACAGAACTATATTACATTTAGCAATATAATTCCATTTCTTCTTCTCCTAGAAAAAAATTTTTTTCCCTAGAAAATATGAATACAAGTCTAAGGCAAGTTAATAAGACATTTTATGCAGTTGAAAAACTTTAAATCAGTGAAAGCCTCATTAAGATGATCATTTCAGCATCTTGGAATTGTTCAATATATATCTTGTTTTAAAAAAAAAAAATAGAAGCCTAAACTAACATAGTGGATAGAGATCCAGTCCCTGAAGCCAAGTAAATGGGGGTTCAAGTTCTACCACTAAGACAGAAAGCTGTGACCCTAGGCAAGATCCCTGCCCCTCTTAGTGAGGGCACCAGACAATTCTCCAAGATAGTAAGCTGGAGAAGAGTGGGAGAGCTGCATCCTGACCAGGAAACTCCTACAACAATGAAATCACTGGTCTAGCAAAAAAAAAAACAAAAACAAAAACAAAAAAACACAAAACAAAACAATTTCTATAAAGAGCAAAAAAAAAAAAAATCAACATCTAACAATAGAAATTGCAACCTGACATTAAACACTTCTCAAAACTAAGTATTATAGATTGACCAGCTGACAGGCGGCTTGAATTGCCACGTTTTCTAAACCAGAAGACCAAACATCTAACCTTAAAACAAATTTATCCAATTATTCCTTAAAATTATGCTGATAAGAATAAAGAAGTCCAGATTTTTTACAGACTTCTAACCACCCTTTTCTTAGTTAGATTTGTTTATATTTAGAGCTAAGAGATAGATTAAACTACACAAAAGAATTCGATGCAGAAATTGGTTTTGTTAGCCAGAAAACAAAGTGGCCTATGGCCAAGTTCAATAGACTATTTAATAATTAGAAAAATCAGTTTTTGTCCCTAAAGATTATTCATAAATACCAAGATAATGGTTAAAAAGCTAAATTATACACAATGTACTATATTATAAATTGAATATGTATGTGCCATATAAAAGTATGATCAGAAAACTGAGTCTGAGCTTTTTAGAAATCTTTCAAACTTTCAATAACAACCAGTAGGCCTTTATTTTCTGATCATCAATATTCAAGTACTTCCAGTGTTTTGTAACTAGCCCACGTTCCAAAATGTGTGAAACTGATTTTGTTAACTAACACCATGAATTATAACTTTACTCAAAACTTAAATGAGACACCCATTCCTTCTTCTAGTTGTTCCTATGATTATCTTAATACCAGTAATGAATTTCCAAAGCTTACTTTGAACTCAGGAATCACATATTCAATGTGAACAATTAAAATTTATTATTAAGGAATGAAACCATTCCACATATCTATAGTTTCCAAATAACTAATTTTAGCCTTTTAAATGGACACAACTTTTAAAATTACAAACCATTTAGCAGAAATCTTTCTAAGATGTGTTTTCCCACTCCCCTGCCTTCCGTATGTCTTCCACTAATGTTCTCTAGTGTCTCACTGCAGACTATGGGGCCACCATAACTATGCCCTCAGCACACAAGTTCTGCTAAGTCATATGGAACTGAAAAATCAGCCAAGATGGGTTCAGAGATGAACTCTGTGTTTGTCATATCTGAGGACTGCCAAGCTGAAATCAGAGAGGCTTTTCACCAGAAAGCTGGTCACCAAGTAACATGTGTGGAGGGTTTGAGGGACACAGTACCTCTCAAAGATGACCAAGACAAGGAGGAAAGCTACTGATCCATTCTACTGGAAGGAGTACCTAGGCCAATGAAATCATGGGTGCCTAAAATCCTGGGATACAACATTACTCAGTGATAAAAGGGATGATTTCAAGGTTACTACTGTGTTACACTGCACAAGGGTCTGGACTGCTGAGCCTTCAGCTGAGGGGTGCATTTCAAAGTGGTTTTTCTTTTCCCGTGCTTTCTGCCTTCTTCCTCAGTAACAATGAAGCTATTACTTACAACTGTCACTGTACCTACATCTGGCAGTCCATCCCTTTCCTCAGTCCAACTTCCTGCTGCTTGCTCCTCTCTGCAATGGCTGGGAGATGAGCTCATCAAGCTGGCTGGTTCTGCTTGACAAGTTCACGTAAATCACCAAGTGGCTCTGCATTAAGGTTTAGACCGCAAAGTAAAAATAAAATATCCACAATAAATTACCAAGTCTGCTTCCATTTCTGGGCATTGCCATGAAGGAGCCAAGACTTCCCCCTATCACACTGTGTGGTCTCCGCAATGGGGGCTTCTTGAAAGAGCCCGTGTACTGGTGGAGGAAGGAGTGCATACTGTGTGACGCTGGAGGCCTCCCATTCTTCACAATGGGCTCTATCATCCCCGGCCAAACATTTCATTCCATGCACATCCCAAGATCCAGGAACACGTCAGAGGAATTGAATAAGCAAACAAACAAACAACAATAACAAAAACAAAAACAAAAACAAGAAAGTTACTATGCAGATCTCTGTAAATAACTCTATTTTTTTTCAGTCTCCATAATGAACACACCTAAATTATGACTTCCAAGTTACAATTTTTGAGTGTGACTCTCGTAAGCTTAATTAAGTAGCTTTTTCTTGTTCAAGTTAATCTGGAAAATATGATCACATGCTTTTAAAGCTCCCTGTAGAGTTTTATTTCCATTTTAAAATTTACCTTAAGGCTGCCTTAATTTTATTTTTCTTCTTCAAAAAAAACAAACAAACCTACTACGTACTTTTCATTTCCAAATCAACCAACAAACATTTGTGGATTATCTACCCTAAGGAGAGTTGTGAGGTAAGCATTTTGCAAATCTTAAGAAAGTACTATATAAAGGGCAGCTATCACTACCACATGGCCCTCCCAGGTTGAGGATACACTAGTTTAACACTACCATAGCTAGCAACAGAGTCTGGGAGAAGATCGGTGGATGTAACCACGTATGTAACCTGGACAACAATGCAAGACCGTATCAGGGTAGAATCAGATGCACAGTTATTGGGTACAACAAACCAGAGGTTTTCAATCATTCTGAATTCAGAAAACCTTTATATTAAAACAAAAAATTATAGGACTGTGGTCAACCAGTAATGATGCCTTCATAATTACATGTTTAAAAGTACAGTAAATGGTAATAATGGAGCCAAATATATACCAGTTTGAGACCAACAAGGCATTTTAAGGAGCCAGTCTGAAATAACAGCACTGACAATGTCAACAACATTGACAAAGACAGCAACAATAATAATTACTATGTTAACGTAATATCACTGCAGACACTTTTTAGAATCTCATTTTTATGCTGATTTTTATTTAAGTCATGGTAAAACAAATGCGCAGATACACAGCAGGGACTATTCTTAGCTGGTTTCATAAAAACAGAGCTTTTGGTGCAACAATGCTAGAGGTAGGAAGACAGTTTGGCAGTAACAATGTGACAAATGGAAGGTACACTCCTAGGAAATCAAAATTAGAAACACAAGTTTAACATTCAGTCATTGGACTCTTGACTAGAGTGGGTAGGGCTGCTCGGCCCATGCTCAGCTCAGTTCAGAGAGGGGCTGGGCAGGACTTAGAGAACACCCTATACAAAGGGCAGCCATATGGCTTCAAAGGATGGCAGACTGGAGTAAGAATGCACTAGAGATGATTAAAAAAAAGTTTTTAATGCAGTGATATCTAGAAGATATGAGAAGAAGAGCTGGCTCTTCCCTAGAGAAACCCCTATTTCTAGTTGAAGATTCAGCTGACAAATGAGAAGCATTTTCAATACTTGCTTCTCAAAAATAATCTATTCTTCACAGTCAAGAAAGGTACAATTTCACCAGAGGAAAACAGCAATGTAAAAGTACTGAGGCTCTAGAGTCAAATGTGACTTTTGAAGAGGGTAGTGGATTCAAATCCCTGACCCCCTTTAATTTACTCTCACAAACGTCTTAATGTGGGTGCCAAATGGACAGCAGATGACCACAGAAGAATTAGAACTATCTGGCCTGACATGATACCTCAGGGGTAACAGAAAAAGAACAGGAGCTTGGCACATGCAGCCTAATGATGCCTTTAGACAGTGTTTATGTAAATGTTAAAGCAATAACGGCATTTCTAAGAATTTCAAGGTTTCCAAAGTGTTTCACATTTTGTCATTTCATTTGATCCTTACAACAACCCTGTGAGATAGGTATTATCATTATCCCCATTTTACAGATGAGGAAACCAAGGCTCAGAGAGGTTAAGTGAACTATCCAGCTGCACACATTTAAGTGAGTATCTTAGTCTCACTGGCTCCAAATCCAGCACTTTGCCATCTAGTGTCAGACACAATGCTAGGTATGTGGAGGATACGTACAATACCAAGAATGACACAATCTCTACTCTTGGGAAGCCTTAATTCTAACGAGGAAGACAACAAACACAAAGATATACAAGTCAAGTCAGCAAGTGCTTATCAACCTCCTTCTGTGTGCTAGTCACCATGTTAAGTGCTGGAGATGAAAAGAAAAAAGAAAAAGAAACTAGTCCCCACCCTCAAGGAGCTCACAATCTAACATGTGCAAACAACTATATAGGTAAATGATATATACATGGAAAACTGGTCATCTCCAGGTGAAGGCACCAGCATTAAGGGATTGAGAAAGGCTTTCTGAGAGGATAAATTAACAGAATAGGATGAAGGGAAATGTACAGTTAGTAATCAGAACTGTGAATGTGAATGGCATCAACTCACCCATTATACAGAAAAAGGATGGCAGAATAGATTAGAAAACAGAATCCAACAATATGTTGTTTACAAAAACAAACAAACAAAAAAAACAAAAAAACCAAAAAACCAAAAAACCAAAAAACACTTGAAACAGAAAGACTCACAGAGTTAAAATAAAGAGCTAGAGCAGAATCTATTATGCTTCAGCTCAAGTTAAAAAGACAGGGGTAGCAATCATGATCTCAGAGCAAAAGCAAGGATAGATTTAACTGAAAAAGATAATCAGGAAAACTACATTTTACTAAACAATACCACAGACAATGAATTAATATTAATGCTGAACATATATGCACCAAATGGCACTGAAATTTTTTAAAGAAAAGTTAAATGACTATAGGAGGAAATAAACAGTAAAACTAATTGCAGGGGATCTCTATTTACTTCTGTAAGATCTAGAAAAATCTATAAAATAAACAAGTTAAGGAGATGAATAGAAATTTAGGAAAGTTAAATACGGCAAGCCTTTGCAGAATACTGAATGGGAATATACCTATTTCTCAGCTGTACATGGGCAAGGCTTTTTTGCATAATTTTAGCTGAGACTATAAGAAAGCCAGAGGATACATAGGAGGCAGCAGAAGGAAAGAGGAAATTGCAGGCATGGGGGTCAGCCAGAGAAAACATCTGATCCTAGAGGGATAGGGAGTCACTGGAGGTTAATGAATAAGGGGAGGGAGAAGGGCAGTGGTGACATGATTGGAACACACTTTAGGAAGATCAAACCAACAGGTAAGTGGAAGATAAATTAGATGAGGAAATATTTAAGACAGGGAGACCAACCAGCAGGCATAAAATGATCAGGGCCTGCACCAGGCTGCTGGCAGTATCAGAGGAGAAAAGAGGGCATGTAGAGATATTACAGAGATAGAACAAGATTTGACAACTGATATTAGGAGGTGGGGGCAGGAGGAGGATATGCAAAGTTGAGGATGATACCAGGGGGCCTGGGTGACTGGAAAGATAAGTAACGGGAAAGTTAGGAAAAGGGGAGGGATTGGGAGAAAGATATTGAATTTAGTTATACAGAATAAATAGGAAGAGAATATAAGTAAATACAAAGTAGTTATAAAAAGGGCAAGTAGGAGGCTCAGTGGATAGAGCGCCAGGCTTGGAGTCAGGAATACTCATCTTCCTGAGCTCAAATCTGGCCTCAGACACTTACTAGCTGTGAGACCCTGGGCAAAGTTTCCTCATCTGTAAAATGAGCTGGAGAACGAAATGGCAAACCACTCCAGTATCTTTGCCCAGACCCCAAATGGGGTCACAAAGAGTCAGACGTGATTAAAAATTACTAAACAACAAAACATTAAATAAAAGGTAATTTAGGAGAGGGGGCATGAGCAGTTGAGGGAATCAGGAAAGGCTTTGTGAAAAATATGGCTGAAGGTTAAAGACTTTAAAATTTAAACGAAAGAATTTGTTTTTTTTTTTTTTATTTTTTAAATCCTAGAGGCAACAGGAGCCAAGGGATTTATTGAAGGAACTGACTTGGTCAGATCTGAATTTAAGGAAAATTATTTTATGAATGTGGAGAATGGACTGGAGTAGGAAGAATATGAGGCAGCGAGACCAATTAGGAGGCCACTGAAAAAATCTAGATAAGAGCTGATGATAGCCTGAACTAAAGTGGTAGCCATGTGAGGACTGGTCAGATATGAGATGTGTGGTGGTAGGACAAATGGCAAGATCTGGCAACTGACTGGAATAGATGGGGTACAGAAGAGTGATGAGTCAATGAAAACACCAAGGATATGAACCAGAGAGATGGAAAGAACAGTAATGCCTTCCATTGGAAATAGGAAAGTTTGTAAGAGGTTTTAGGAAACAAAGATTTAGGGAAAAGTTCTGCTTTTGACATTTTGCGTCTGAAGTGTCCTAGACAAACCTGTGAGGTAGGTCCTATTTTCCCATTGCACTTATAATGAAACTGGGACTCCAGAGATAAACTGACTTGCCAAGGGTCATACAAATGATAAAATGCCTGAGACAGGATGCAAACCCTGATCTTACTGACTCAATGCAGGTCCTACACTCTAACCACTATTCCACATTGCCTCTTTGCAAAATAAGGAAACCTTAAGCCCTAATTTCCAGAGTACAGTAATGCTTTCTATATAATTATACAAGTCAGAAATGGAAGCAAAATCAAATAAGCAATGTAATTATAAATCAATGTCTAACTTTCACATGTATTCCAGTAATTGAGCCTATAGTCTTATGGCAGACTAAAGCAACTGATTAATGTCAGGTTTCTCTTTTGCTTCTAGGTCTACACCTGGATGATTCCCAGAGCTGGGCTGGTTCAAATTTGAATGAATTCTTTATTATAGTCTGTTGGTAGCCAGTTCAACATCTATACTAAAAATAGTTGAGATATGAGAGGCAATCTTTTGTCACCACAAAGCCCAGCCTAAACTGTCCACAGAGGTCCCAAGAATTAGCCCAATGGATAAGGGGTTGTGGTAGAATGAGACAGTTGACTGCGTTAAGTAACAAGGCTTGAAAATTGCATCATCTGAACTACTGTCCATAGGGGACTCTGAACCTTTATCAGCACAAATGTGTCTTGAATTATGATAAAATAAAT